TGTCTTTGTAATGAGACAGAGGCAGGTCATCTTGAAGAGGAAATGGGCCATGTGTGGGAGAAAAGAAAAGCAAAAGATTACTTTTTTTCCCTTCTTTTTCTTAATGAACAGAAGGAGAACTCTGAACCCTAAACAAACATCCTGGAGATCACAAAATGAAGATCCACACAGGAATAACAAACAGACTGGCCATGGAATGTTTTAGTTAAAAAGCTGGTAGCAATACAAGTAACAGCAAATTAACAGGCTGAACTAATGAGAGAGAAAAATATGTTATAAAAAACAATCAGGGGGATCCCAGAGCAGCCAAAGGCAAACTACACACTAAATCCTGTCAGGAAACATATTTAGATTTACATTAAAAATGTTCACCTGTAATGTTGTCACAGCTCCATGGACGTCTTACATATGCTTCCAGTGATAATTCAGCTGTTTTCAGATATCCCTGCATAGAAACGAAAACCATTTTTAATGTTGTATTTTACAGCCTCTTTCTGTGTTTATTACATTTTATGACGTCTTTAATATTTATGCTTGCAGCATGTGTCTTCAATCACTCAATATCAGAACTCCTGGAACACAGAAGACAATAAAGTAAAACTAAGAAAGTAAAAATAACATAATTATCATGGAAAATCAATCATGCACACCTTGAAACTTTTCACGTTGTGTCATGATCCCAAACAATGTGTTTTACGGATGAAGTGTGACAACAAGGAGCTGTTGTTGAAAGAAAGCTATGAGAGTTTCGCTACGTCATGTCGGAAAGACAACAGACATGGGGAGCTGGTCAGAGTTGATCAGAAATGTAAGGAGCATGACATGCAGAACATTTCTAGAAGAAGACAGGCATGCAAAAACTTGAGATTTGTAAGGAGGTTCATCTAGCAGGACAGGGACACTGAAAATAAAGCTAAAGATCGAAGAGCTTTTTTTATATCAAAGCGCATCCATGTGTGTAAGGGGCCAGACAAAGTCCAGACCTAAGTCCAAGTAAAATTCTTTACTTTGTGTTGGTCTGTAAACAGATGTGATGGACAAAACTTTGAAGAGAATATATTATTGAAAGGGTCTCTGCTATATGTGGATGAAACTCACAATAAATTTGCTGTCTTTTTTTCCCGGTGTGCTCCCAAGAGCAATGACAACATCATGTGGAATGCGCAAGCGGATCCTGTTTTCACTCTTTATTCCTATAACAACAGGTTCTTGGCAATCAGCATAAAATACCAATCTGTCCGGCTCCAGGCTCACAGCCAATTGCACCCATTCGCTGCCACGGATGGGATTTCTTTGGGGAAAATAAAAGCGGGCAAGTGATACTGCAGCAGATTGGTAGTCCAAATGCAGAGAGTTATTGATGGTGGAGGAGATGATTTGGAGTATAGGTGAGGTCGCTGAGGAGAGAGAAAAGAGTGTAGCACTGGATCCTGGTGCCTGACGTCCAACCAAATGCACTCCAATGCTGCCCTGAAAGTTGGAGTGCAGGAAGCTGGAGTATTCCTGAGGGAGGATCAGGTAAGATGCTCTGTGACGTATTTTAAATGTCACGCCGTTTGGACTCTGCAGTCTGGAAACACCACTTCTCTGCTGAGATACGTTTACTGCTGCTAGAAGGTCAATTGCTACAAAATGAGAAAGGAGAGAGGAAAAAACAACATGAATCTATACAGCATCAGGACAGAATGACGACCAGGATGTCAGTGAGCTTTATGACAGTCTCATGTCTGCTTCATAGACATCAGCAGATGATTATGATGCTACAAGGCTGATCTGTGAGCTTGGAGGACAATAAACATCATGTAAGAAAACATTTCCACTGTCTAAAGCTGTTCCTATTTAATAAACAGGACCAGTGGAAGCAGATGTAAATGTCTTGCACTTTACAAAACTCTGACAGTTGTCTTGTCAGCAGGGATACCTTGAGGGGGGGGAAATCATAATTTGGTGTTGAAATATCGATTCAAAATGATCTCATTTGCTATTTAAATTGATAATAGATTAAATTCTAATCGGTAAAATTTATAGAAATACCTCAATACATGCACCCATCTGTTTGCAATCAATCTATGAAGATACTTCCACCTTTTGAGTTGAATTATTGAAATAAATTAAGCCAATAAGATAGAAACCTGTGCACTGACAGCAGTCTGTCACACACAGCAGTGGACATAATGATACATCTCAATAGCGCGTGTCAAATTATAAAATATTTCAGGCTCAATAAGAGACGTTGACCTTTTACATCTACATTGCAAGTAATGACTTGGATGCAACGCCTGATGCATTTTACAAATTATCTCAATGATTTATTCCAACATTATAGTTGGGCATTATAGTTCTTTGGATGAATTTGCTTTGCATTATCAATTAAATCAAGCATTATAAAGATAATATACTTCTTGTGTGACTGCAAAGGTTTTAATTATTTTTCTTAGCGCGTATTCATCTAATATTAAAGTTTCACACGTATACTGACTTAGATATTTATATATATATTTATTAAAAATCCGCTATTCGATTGCGACTCATGCAGTAATCTCACCATCTTCCCGGTTCGGGGCAGAGTGTCCACGCAAAAACATCACAAACATCCACGGCAAATGCAAGTTGAGCAGCAGCAGCGCCGTCCTCAGTTTGCTGCTCTCCATTCTTCAGGATCAAAACCCGACCAGCTCACATGAAGAGCCTGGCGCGCATTGTCCGTTTGGCCCGATCAGATGCCACAAAGTGCAAGCTGGCACTTCTCAGCGCTCCTCCGCGGGCGGTCAGACCTCTCCAGAGAGCGCGCGGAGGGAAACATGAAACATCTGGATCCAGGCAGGGCGTCGCTCCACTGCAGTCTCACTCTGAAACCCCCTCGGGGCCTTTGCTTCACTGTTTGCAGTCAATTGAAGCACATTAACTACTTTTTGTGCATGGGCTTTTGTAAAACGCAGGAAGGGGGTGAAAATGTAGAAATGTAGGCTTTTAGGTCAAAATGTTCAGGTGCTCAATCTGTGGGAGGTCACTAAGTCCTTATCTCTATGCGTCTCTCAAACAGGGATGTCTCTGAGTATATTTTTGTCTTCCCTAGTTTTTTTTCTTCTTCATCTTTGTTTTCCCCATTTTTTTTTTTTTTTTTTTTTTTTTTTTTTTTTTTGCATGAGGGGAAACAATTTGAGTCTGTAGGATTCAGTGGTGTTGATTTCCTATAAGACCCCGGCGCTGGAAATCAGCTAAAACCTGGTCTGGAGACTGGAGGGGAGTCATTCTGAAGAAGAATATGTTGAGTGAATGTGTGCACAGGCAGAGAAAAGACAGAGGGTGGAGGTAAACACAGCCTGATCTCACTGCTTTTGAAAGCAGTCCCTGAGTGCATCCCACTGTGCACCAAACCTCGTCAGTCTCCACAACAATTCTCCCGGATCTTCTTGACCATTAGAAGCCCTCAAGAAGCAACTCTTAGACTTTACTGGTATTAATGTGCCCATATATCTTGATTAAGTATTGTGTAAGGATCGTGCTTTAAAAACCAGTCAGGTGTTTCCTTTTGGATTCCCAAGAGCAGAGGTTCTGTTATCGCTCTGTTGTCAGATTGTTTTCTCACAACATCCACTGCAGAAGATCCATACAATACGGTCGGACCCGATCTAAGATCTTCCCACTCTCGTTCCACATACCAAACAAAACCTCATCTGTGACTCATGCCTCTTTGTCTGTAATAACAAATTCACCCCCTTCCCCACAAGGCTCCAGAGGGTGCATGTTTTCCAACATAGATCCTTTGAAGAGTATAATGCTTTTAGCCAATGGGGGCTGATTCAGAATTTAGATAAAGAGGTAGGTTAGAGATAATGCTAGAACTTATTGTAGAATCACCGAGAAACTCTGTTTAAGAAAAAAGCTTTACAATACTTTTCAGTATTTTGCAAAAGCATTCATTCCCCTTGAACTTGTTCCTACGACTGCAACCTTCAAATTCCTGAAATTTGCTGCAAGTTCCTCTGGACATGTCACTGATGATCTCCAGCAGTTTTCTGAAGCTGAATTCGTAAATAAATATGACAAGAATGACTTTTTGTAATACATAATTGTAACCAAATGCCCATGTCTCTATTACTCACCACTTTAATGTCGGTCTGTGAAATTAATTCATTTATCACAATAAATATATGAATGTTTGCAGCTTAATGTGACTAAATGTGAATAAGTTCAAGGGGTCAAGCATCTCTCTCATCCTTTAGCCACATCTCTGCTGACATCCAGTGGTAAAGTCTAGTCACAGTACATCAATATGCATTTCCTTTTACTCCTATGATGCAGTCACCGAAAGTGATGGATCATTAAAAAAAAGACCAATCTGTGAAATCCATGTCTGGAAAAAAGACACACAGTCAATTCGACCATTTTACTCCCTCCAATGGCAAACCAGAACACTTCAGACACTTCAGTTTTTTCCCTCTCACAAGTCTCCACTAACCAAAATATTTCTACGGAGCCAGACGACAGCCATTTATCACAGGGTTCTTTCAAGATATGTGCAGACATGTGTTTTGTGTCTTTGTGTTTGCATGCCTGTGCATGCTGTGACAAGAGTGTAAAGGGATGTAGGTTAATCTTCACAAGATAAACAGCCGCCATTTGATAGCTAATCCCTTGTCAGGCTCCATTAGTTTGTCACATGCTGCTAATTGACCAAATCCAGCAGGCAAAGGCTATGTGAAGTACATACATAGACGTTTGTAACAAGTTATCGTGAACAGTGCCTTGAAATAGGCATTCGTTGTAAATAAAAAGAAACAATGCTTTGTTATGGAGCTAGATGTAAAGAGTCTCTTGGCTTTAAGAGGTCAAGTGATGGACAAATCCCCTCCTTTCACCTCTGGCCTGATCTTTGAACCTATAGTCAGGTTCTTGCCACCTCTAATCTGATTGGAGTCTTCACCAGATAAAGCTCCACCTTCAGTTTTCAGCCTCTGAGCTGACGTTTATCCCAGGTCACACAGCATAAGCTGTCGTCTGCTCTTTAATGTGTAGGAAGCCTAGTAGAGGAGGTGGGGGGTTTAGCTTGTGTGTTTGTGACATGCAGTTTAATCTTCAACTGGCCATTATATATTCCTGAAAGCATCTTGCTGCCTTTGCTTCCCATTTCTACTGGCTTTTTAGTGTTTCAGGGATCAAAGATGTTGGGTCCATCACAAGTCAGAAGAAGGTGGAGGCTGACAGGAAAGCCGCAAGGGATTTGACAAGAACAGGTCAGTCAGCTCAAGTGTTGTAAACAGTGTAGACGGTAGCACATCAGACGCAGATAAGTTGGGCCAGTAGCGGCAGGCAACCGGACGTTTATCTCACTCCTGCTGCAGAGGTGTTTTATAGACAATCTGAATGTGATTACAGTTTCACTCCAACAAGCTGGATAAAAGGAAAACAGATAAGTACGCAACAGATATTCCTGATAAAGTCAATGAAACTGGGCAGAGCATTAAAACATAAAGTGTGAGAAATAAATAACAAGAAATTATTATTATTATCTTTAGAAATCAACAACATATACTGTGCCTAGTTGCAAATGAAAAGTTCTGAGCAAAGAGAATCAGCAAGAACTGTAAATTCAGAGCAAAATAGAAACAACAGAAACCCATTTAGAGAGGATTTGAGAAAATTATGTTACAGACAAGTTTGTGTTTTTGTCCTTTTGGATTCCTAATCTTAAGATGACTCTTAAAGCACATGTATGAGTGTATTTAGTAAAGTTTGTTGACAAAAGATGGACATATATCATTGCTTAGTTAATTGTATTTGCAGTCTTTGCTCTCTTTACACAACGAGAAGAAGCTCCTGAGGAATGGCCCTCGGGGAGGCAACTCTTTCAACTCTGCTGGTCCTGCTAAGTCTGCACACAGTTGCAGGTATAGCCAGTTTGCATTCAAGATTTCTGAGATAATCTCATAACGACACATTTCCTAAATCTCTGCTTTTGTTTTTGTTTGTTAGGTATGTCTGGCTGGTCTGAATGCTCAGGTGGGCAGGACGTGTTAACAAAAATCAAAGAAAACAGCCTCTCAGGAGACACTGTCGCTGAGTTTGTGGCAAACTCCGACCCGAAAGGGGTTCGGTGGAGTCTGTCTGGGAGGGATGCTGACTGGTTCTACTTAGACGGAAGAAACATCCGGCTGAACACGTCAGCTGAAAAAATCCTTGACCGAGAGGTAATTGGATGTGTTTCCATTAACGGTACTCAAGCAGTTTTGCGACGAGCTTAACAGAAAATACAATTAAATTGTAATATTTGTTATTATTGCAATCTTAATCATGATATTTATGATAGATTGGCATCATAATGAAGGAGCTGTCTGAAATTTTGAAGAAAACTGGCAAATAAAAATTCCTCCAACCTTGTCCTCAGGCCTCACATGTTATTTTGTCAAATTGCTCCCAATCAGCTGCCTTGAAATGGTCCCAGTTGAAGGTCAACCAGATTAGCTGTTCTTCCCTCTGACTTTCATCTGACAATTTATCTAAAAAAAATGCATGATGAAATAAAAGTTATACATTTCCTGAACAGATTCTGTCTTTTAATCTTATATCTAGAAAAGTTTTGTCGTCACAATGTCACTGTAGTTTTTAACTTTTGATGCCTTTCTGTCTCCAAGGTGCATCACTGTAAATGTATTACTTTTAATTTCTGTTGTGACCTTCTCCAAACAGTTACCTTTGTAAAACTTCCTTTTCATCAAATGAGCCAATCTCAGAAATGTATTTTTCACTGATAGTTATTTTAGAGTGAATGCTGAAATTGAATCAAAAGGTGTAAAGAATTATTATTTCAGGGTTCCACACTTTTTCTGCTTTTACATGTTCTTTTTTTATTTTCTAGAAATTTAGCATGGTTTATTTTGTTTGTCCTTTAATGTGTTAATGTGTTTGTGTCTGTTTCGATCCTTCAATTGTTTTCAGTTGATGTAGGGTTAAAGTTAATAGTTACATTTCATTTTGCACAAGGATTTAAAGTCCTTGTTAATGTTGAAAGTGTCACAGATATTGAAATTTAAATACATTTCTATTAAATGTGTTTCAACATTTGTCCTTTCTCTTCCAGGCTCTTGGTCCGGTCTTAATGGCGGAGTTATCATGTTTTGAGGAAGAGATGTTTCAGGTTCACTTTAAAACACTTTTCTCTTTTGTGATTCTCCTTGTGGTAATCCGAATTAAAACCTGAACGTGCCTGTGTTTTGGTTTCCTTGTAGACTGTTTACAGAGTCATGGTGGAGATTCTTAATGAGAATGATAATTTACCCATGTTTTCAGAAAAAAGTGTACAATCACTTACTTTGAACGAGGTATGAGCACAAATTTAACCTTGCATTTAAAGCGATCTCTCAGGTCAAAGGTGTTTATCTGCTTATCTGTCTCTGTTTTATCCAGCTCACTCCAGTAAATACTGTGGCTTTTACTGTCCAAGCCTTGGACGCTGATGATGATAGGATACTTTACTCAATTGACCAAACAAGCGTAAGTTTGACATTCGAACCATTAAAATGAATAAATACAAGAGAATCCAGTCGTTGACTGTAGATTATGTTTGTGTTACAGCCTGATGCCGAGTACTTCAAGATTGATCTGCCAAATAGTGGTGAGGTGATCCTTTCCAAACCGCTGGATTATGAGACCAAAACTCAGCTCACTGTCACCATCTACGCTTCTGTTCGTAACATTACTACTACTATTTTTCTTCCTCAATTAATGTTTTTAGTTGATTCAAAGCAGTATAGGCTTCTTAACCCACTCAGTTGAAGAACTTGTGATAAAGCTTTTCATATGCATTCTCTGACAGTCATGGTCAACACAAAGATCCAACTCATATGGGGCTTTTAATTGTACATTTGAGATGTTCTGTTCTCCAGGTTGATTATACAAAGAACAACCTTTATGATTGTTTTAGAGAACTATCGGCTAAGCAGCAGTACAAGTGGCATAAAAACAGAGAACAACTGCAAGCAGAATAGCCTCATGCTGGCCACCAGCTTGTTTACACATTGTACAGCCAGTGTGGCTCTGTACGTCTCTCTCGCATGAGCACCATGTCAAAATGAAACCCAGAAGTATGTGGAGTTGAGGTCAGGACTGCCGGCAGGTCATTCCATCCTCTCTACCTCCTAATTTCTGGAGGCAGTCTATGACAAACCCCACTCTGTGCTAGCGAGCAGCAACATCTTCGGAGTTCTGTGTCAAAGAGTGGGTTTGATATTAGTTTCAGAATTTCATCTCGATAGCTCTGCACTGAGATTACTCCTTGTGGTGAAATACCACCACACACCATCACACCTACATACTTAACTATACAACTAAACCCATAGAAGCATTTTCTTCACAGATGTGATGCTGTTTAAGGGCAAACGAACAAGTTTTCTGAATAGGTTGTTTGATTGCCAAGAAGAATTTCTACAGCAAAGAAAAATTGAGCAAACACAAACATTTCTACTTTTTTTTTTTTTTTTTTTTTTTGCGTGTCATATTTGGGTCTGCATATTTTTCCTAATCCGTATCCTGAATGAATGATAGAAAATTCAGAATAAATTCAAATTTGTGCTTAACTAAGATATGAGTTCATCTTGAAACAGTTTCAAAATACCATTAAAAGCCACAAGAATATGTAAATGTGAACTCGGTTAGGCCACATGTCTTCTTTGAACAATGTATCTCACTGGCTGGTCTTTGTGGCAGGAAATGAACACTGCTGAGCACTACAACACCAGCACCAATGTCAACATCCTGGTTCAGGATGGAGATGACCAGTACCCACAGTTTGTGCCCTGTGTGCTGCTGTTCCAGGATGAGACCAGTCGAATCTGCACCAGTCCTGTGTACATGGTCAATGTCACAGAGGGAGAAGAGGTCAGCTTCTCTTTACCCTTGTTCAAATATATTTTTACCTTTTTTAATGTCACATATTCAAACATCTAATAACCAAGTGATGGATTTCAGATACATCTGATTCACAGTGCCACAAATGTATACCACATTTCAGGATATTGTGCTGGAATTTTCTCCGGGTCCCATTCATGCAGTGGATGGAGATAGAGGTGTCAATTCCTCCATCAGCTATGCCATTCTCTCAGGTATATCACATAATAAAGTAGGTTTAAATCTGAGGTGTGTAGATGTCACATAAGCGATTCTGTAACTGTGTCAGAAGATGAAGATGGGCATTTCAGTATCAACAGAGAGACCGGTGAGTTGAGACTAATGAAGGGTTTAAAGGACAGACTCATAACTCCTGTTGTGCATCTTCAAGTCATGGTAAGATTTGTTACCCCTGGAAATTGACCGTTTGTTCAGGATTTGCCCGGCCCCACATCACTCTTCCATGGTTTTCAATTTCGTGTGCAGGCGTACCAGGACGATGATCCCAGGAAGTACTCTGTTGCGACAGTGCTGGTCAGAGTTCTGGCAGCGAACCAGTTTCATCCAGAGTTTGAGCTGCCTGAATATTGCGGCTTCGTCACAGCTGGGAAGAGTGCAGCCTCTCTGGTCAATACATACGGAAGCAGGGCTCTGATTTTAAATGTCCAGGACCAAGACTTTGACAATGTGAGCTCTCAGGCATGCCCTCGATGCTTTGTACATGTACTCACATCCCTCAAACATTTTCACATTTTGTTATGATCCAAACATTTTGTATTTTTGCAACATTTCTTGATAGACCTACATGGTTCTCAATTTATTTATTGCATGCAAACATACCCATTTTGCTCTTTTAAATAAAATCCAGAGCAACAAAAACTGTATTCAAAAGTTTCTAAATAAAGTGTAGAGAAATATTGGTAAACGTTCCCATAAACTATGTAGAACAGTGGTCCCCACGCCTGGTGCTCAGGGCTCACTGTCCTGCATGTTTTAGATGTTTCCCTGCTCCAACACAGCTGATTCAAATGATTGCATTACTGCCTTTGCATGCCTCCAATTTCTGTAGAAGATTATTAATCATCCACTCATTTAATCCAAGTGTGAATGAACCTAAACACAAGGACACTGGAGGCTGCAAAAGACATGAGACAGTGGCAAAGGTTCACTTCCCAACAGAACAAAGAATCGAATCATACAGTCAGATTTACATATTAGAGCAGCCTTGATCTAAAACCATATGATGATTTTTGGCAAAAAGGTTATCATAGAAAATGTATGCTTGAACCTTCACGAATCCACATTATTTTATGTTTGTTTATCACAAAATACTCCAATTAAATTTATTAGATTCGGTTGTTACAGGACAAAATGCGTCCTGCAGTGCTAAGCACCATACAAATTCTGCATACATGATGAAATTGTCTTTTTGTTTCTGCGACAATTGAGTTTTGTTTTTGTTTTTTTCAAACAAAAAAAAAAACTCACAGGGTTTCAATCCAATGGTCTACTTTGGCCTTGGTGCTACATCCAACCACACTGATATTTACCAAGTTACACAGAGCGGACTCCTGATCGCAAAGACCAGTCTTCTCAAGCCAAAGCAGAAGCACATTCTGGAGGTGGGCCTTGCTTAACTTTTATGCTGCAAACTCTTAAATAAACTTAGACATAGTTTTTATTTTGCAACCAAATAACAGTTTCTTGTGTTTTGCACAGCTCAATATAAATCTCACAATCAGGATCTCACAAATGTATCGACAGCATTAATGTTTTACAAATTTTAAACTCATTTCCAGGTTATGGCTGTAGACCAGGAATCCGGTGACTCTGCTTATTCTACGGTAGTAGTGGAAGTGTTACCTGAAGGACAACTGAGTAAGTTCCCAACAGTATCAACATTTCTGATGAGTCTGCAGGCCACAAACAAACTACAAATGTTTGTTTTTATGTGCCGTGCAGTCCCTTACAGTCCTCTGGTAAATGAACGCCTGACAGGCTGCACTGTGGGCAAAGGACTTTTCCTGAGCATGGTGTTCCTGGGTGCAATTGGCTGTGTCCTGTCTGTGTTGATGTGGTTGAAGCGGAAACACAAAGGAATGAGAGACCCGCTGGAGAGAGGCTGTGTAGCCCAGGGCAAGCACCCCAATGTGGTGAGAATATTTTGTTTTCCTGTTGCCCGAGTGATGAGTAACAGAACGGCCGGGGAAGAAAGAGATGCCAGGCTTGCACATGTTATCATTCATTAAATACTATAGCTAAAGTAACAGAAAGTGCTCCTTGGCATCAGAATGAGAGCTAAATGCAGCTAACGTCCATAAAATGAATCATCCATGTCTCATCTACTGAAGCAGCACCAGCATCTGGGAAAGTTACTCCCAGAAGAATAGAAATGCTCTGTTGGGTCAAGTGATTAAAAGCTTACACGACTCAATTTGCATTGAGTCTTCTAAGCCTTCACTATAATGGACAAAATCTTGAAAAGACAAAATTAAACCAATGAAAGGCCTTCATAAGGCCACTGGAACTGATTCTGGTAATTGGACCATGATATTCAGAGTTAAAGACTTCAGTCACTTTAATGCTAATCCAAAACTGTCTACAGAATACTAAAGTAATCTGAATTTGAGCTTTCCAGTCCAGTTAAGTTGACAGCTACATCAATGCCATACTATTGTTAAATTCAATCGAAGTATACGTATGTTCTGAAATTTGTTGTATTTTGCTCCCACAGAGTTTACGCTGGTTCCAGCTGGTAAGTTTTTAATTAAGACTAGTCCCAACTCTTTTCCTTTCTTTCCTTCCTTTTTCCCTTTCCTTTCATTCCATTCATAATCCTTAAATAATACCTATTTGTGTCATAATTCATTACAACAGTTCAATCCATTCTTTAATTAACACAATTTTGAGCTTTCCTATTTCTACTTTTGTAGATGTACATTTACACCATTGCAAATCCATTTTTTAGTCTTTTCACTGTATTTATTGCCATAATTTTCATAAATTATGGCAATAAATACAAATTAAAAATGTTGAAATATTTGACAACATTTTTTTCCGGAAGCTTGAACAGTTAAACCCTTTTTCTTTTGTTTTTGTTCAGGTCCACATTGAGCCTTTACGTTCTTATGAAACATAAGAGATTATGGTCCCAAAATAACCAACTCTCATTGGTAGATGTTAGTTATTGAACTCAGAAAATCATATTTCATATCAGCAGAAATTTTAACAAGACATTTTGTCATTGATTGTCTTAGCATGCATGAATCACCCCACTGGCAGGAGGAATGAATTAAACTGCTTAATGTAAACACAAGCGGCTGACTCTCCCCCTGTCGGTCCCTCCTCAGGTGAATCATCGTACTGGCATGCCACATATGGAGGAGGTATCCTTCCAAAATGAGGAATGTGGTACCTGCAATCTTTCCTTTAGCTTCCCAGACAAACCAGACAGTGATACCACAAAGGATGTTCCTATCTGCACAGGATCCACTTCACCAACAGCAGCTGGTGTTACTGAGACCCCCGCTCCCCTTCCCACTGAAAGCTTGCAAAGTCCTGTGATTCTAAATAACAATGCTTCTAAGGCCACCAAAATTTCCTGTGGTTCACCTGACTGTCACCCTCCCAAGGAGGATATGAGCCCAACACATGTGATAGATGCTGACAGGCTGCCAAAGGGAAATGCTGGCCCACCGTGTGACGTGACCTCAGGGCCTTCAGAAGAACAGTCTAACACTGATTTAGAGCCAGTAACAAAGGAAGACTTTAACCCTTCTCCTTTAAATGAGCAAGATGTGGAAACAAGCGCCTCAAACAACCTTGCTGAGCCAGCACCCTGCCCCTCCTCCCCATCCAGCAATGAAATGACTTCAGCAAAAATGGACAACACACTTCCAAAAACTAATGAGCAGATTCTCTCACATTCGCCATCACTGTCACCAGCACTCCCCAAGGAGACAGGTACACCTCCTTCCACCCCGGAGCACGGCCCTTTAAAAGCCACTTTGGTGCACATAGCCACATCCCCAACTGACACCCCTCCAGATTCTGAGTCAGAGTCATTCAGAGTCTGTCCAGAGGGAACAGGACAGACTCTGAACGCTGAGGCAGACCAACCCTCCACCTCCCTGGACCACATATATCCAACAGAAGATGTCGGAAGCCCATCTCCGGACCGGAGGCCCTCGACAAACTCAGGAAATACCTTCAACAGTCGTGGAGAGGAGCATGAGGATGAGGATGGTTTTCTAGGTGATGATGATGTGGACAAAAACAGTGACGGTAAGAAGCTGCTGGAAGTCTGATCTTTTTGTAGGGCCTTTATAGTTAGAGTAAGAAGTAATTTGTTGATTTTCTTACAGATGCTGAGAGTGACCGAACAGAGTTCAGAAGATGGAGCAGGTGAAATAAATATGGATGGTTAAGAGCTGAGCTAAGCGTCAAGGAAACAAAAAACACCGGACAGGTTCTGCTGAGAAATGGATTACAACCCAGTCAGTACTAGAAGAAATAAACATCAAGCAACACAAAATCAAGTGGAGAAAATGCACAATGCTTACTCTACATATTACAGTCTGTTTAGATAACATTAACTAATGACAACCTAATGCAGTTGACAGGAGGTATTTAAAGAAATTTGTTTTGTCATTGTGACCGATTTTTTTTTTTTAAACTTCACCAAATATTCATACTTGTCAGTGAATGACTACTGACCTTTTTCCATGTTGGCTGGTTTCCAAACTTTGCGTTTATGAAGTCAGAAAAAGCTTTTAAATGTAATATTTGTTTTTCAACTTTATTATTTACCTCAAGGTTTGTTTTACATTAATGTGATCATAATATTTCTTTTATGAGCAAAAATATGTTAAAAGTAAATATATAAAATATATATTCATGTTTAATTTTATTATTTGCACATGTTAAAACTATTTGTCCTCTTTAATATAATTTGCAAACTATGGTTACCATTTCATCATGGTTGTAAAATGATTTGTATGAAACATTTAATTTCAGGGCATTAATAAAGCCTTTGAGTCTAAAAAAGTGTTTAGTTTACAGTAACAAAAGGAAGTTTGTGCCGTTTATAGGTTTTAATCAACACATCAATAGTTGCACTTTAACTTAAAGATGTATAATTAATAACCCCTGATGTTTATCTTGAGTGTGCTTGGATAGGTAGATCTAACCCATTCCCTAAAGCAGGAATGTTCCCACTATAAGACAAAGCTGCTCAAGCTTTGTCTTACAGATGCTGAGAGTAAAAACCCAGAACTACAAGATATAGAAATTTGCCTGAACTTGTGTGACTTGTTAAACTTAGGAAAGTTCACCAATTGTTTTGTCATTCACACAAATTAAATGAAATGTTTCTGCTCTTTGTAACTCAAAATGCAATACAACGATGAACAAGAAATTTAACTCGATTGTTTGAGTTAAATGCTGATGACCTGAAGCCAGCCATTATATTTCTATGTTGTCAAACATTTTCTTAACAGAAATTCTAAAGTTATCTTTAAGTTTTTAGATGACAGAAATATAGAAGTGTCCGAAAGTGAAAACCCAAATACTATACTTTATACAACTGAGTAATTAAGCAAGATAAAAGAAGTAAACAGAAGTCAATCAATTTTATGTTTTATTATTGAGACTTTGTTCTCAGTCAAAAAACTTTAACCTGATTGTTAGAGTGCTCAGATTGCAGGCCATTGACTTATTTTCAGTAAATTCACAAGTCAATTGCCTGTTTCTGCAGTGAGCAGTGTAAAAAATAAAACAAATTTTCAAACATCACAGAAATGATGCAATCAAAGACGTTATTACCAGTGGTTATAGATGTTGGTAGTGATGATATAAGCATAACAAACATATGAGAAAGGAAAACTTTGAGGGAAGAGTATTTTTCCCTTCACTGTTCAAAGATTTTTGCTTGGCACACAAGTGAGTTAGTAATTCAGCTAAATCAAATAAAACTAACATAAAACAGTATAGCAAAATCAGTCATCAAAAATACAAGTAATATATGTACACACTCACATGCGCACACAATTGAAATGGATATGAACAACAATAAAAAATAAAAAAAACAAGAAGGGAAGCAGCTTTGACGATTTAACCAACAGTCTATATAAAGCCCATCTCGGATCAGCTAGGAATACATCCTGTTTTCTTTTAGATCGTGAGGTGAAACAGCAAAGGCGATCCAATCCAAATACAGATTGAATTCTTCAATCTGAATTCAAATTGAATCCTTCATCTATTACAAAAATGTAGTTTATTCATGTGAACCAGAAAGTGTAAAATTACAATCACTAAAATGCTGTATTGCACTAAAGCCAATGGGTCGGTGCAGCAACTGGAATTTCATGTGTAGTTCTGGTTCTAAGCAACCACATTACAGATAACCACATGTTTTCAAATAATGTGAAGTGCTGAAGGACATCTGAACTAGAAATTAGTATCTCGGTTTCGGCTAAATAATACAGCCCAGTGCATTTGAAAAAAATAAACTCTTCTGCAGACTGGAAACTTATACTTGGTGGTTTGTAAAAATGGATAAACGTGCTGTAGAAAATTGCAAGTCCAGCAAACAAAAGCGAAGAAGATCTCACTCGCCAAGTCTCTACAAAAAAAACAGCATAATCAAGCGAAACAAGAAAGCGCAATGCACTGACCAGGCTCTATGTAGAATGTTAGAGTGTGCACGATGAGACACATTCAGAAAATTAAATAAATTATTGTCCGTGGCGTAGGATTAGGTGAGCTCATCCCGCTTCAACACTGGGTGGAAGGAGTCATCGGTGTGGTGAAAACACAAGACGAGCACACAGTCTGTGGAGGCAGCTGGGTGTTAGAACTCGTCGTGTCGAGTCAGAGCCTCCCCGAAATCGGTCGCCTGGCTGCCGACAAATAGATCATACTTATCGACAATCTCTTCCTTCGTCAGACGGCCATCCTGCGGAAGAGCAAGTCATACAGTTAGTATATTTTGTTTTTTGTTTTATCACATAAGTGGATTTAGTTATAACAGAATGTCCTTTTAGAGATTGTTAAAATCACAATTAAAATTTCATTTTTTATACACGAGCTAGATCATTTTAACTTGTACTCATGTTTTGCTGAGGGATTCCTATACTGCTTTGCATACTTTGTCTGCGTCTGACTCGTATACGAGATGCTTGGCCTCGGCCTCAGCATGGTCGTAGTCACTAGGTAGGATCCAGTCTCTGGTCTCCTCCTTGTCCATCTTTCCGTCCTTGTTTCTGTCTCTGAATTCAGTGAACTGTTCCCTCTCTGTCTTCACCCACTCGGGTTCTGTGTTGTCTCCATCCTGGTTGTACATGTCTCCTAGAACCCCACACAACAGAAAAAGAAGACAAATATAAGAAATTAAAGGTGATAGTGTGGAAAATACAGAATTCTCTTCCTTCGCAGAGAGTGAAGCATATCACAAGCGGCCGCAGCGCCATTCTGAGTTTGTCGCTGCGCCAGAGAATGAAACAAAAGTCACAATATAAACTGTAGTCATTTTCCTGTCTGATAAAAGTATCTATGTGTCATGTTTACCTTGGTTCATGCTGTACTTTGGAAAGATAACTCATTCTGTCCTCACTGATCTTTATAAATATCAGCAACTTTGTGTTGATTTTTAATATATATAGATTCAAGTTTAAGGGTATAAATTCTATTTTAGGGATCTGTAAAAATGTTTTTTGAGCAACTCGATATTAGCAGGCTGTAAGAACTCACCTATATATTCATCCAAGTCAATCAAACCATCGCCATTCTTATCAATGTCTTCCATAGTTTCCTACAGAAGAATTAAAGACATTTAAATACATATGTAATATATCATTAATCATCTGCTAAGACCTGTTAAAGTAAATCACTCACCAGCACCACAATGTCTTTCATGTGATCATACTCCTCGGGGTGAAGGAAAGCTGTGAATTCCTCCTTGTTGGCTTTCGTGTTTTTGTCAAGGTCGGCCATCTTGAATCTCCTTTCATCTCGAGCCATCATCTGCCTGTAGCTGAAGCCATCTTCAGGATCGGAATCATCTGCAGATCAAAAGCCAGGAATTTTTTTAAACTGTTAATCACATTAGTTTTTATATAAAATGCATAAAACATGTAAAATGAATAATCCATGGAGCCATACCAAGAACATATCCATACGTAGCATTCTTGTACTCTTCCCAGGACACCATTCCATCCCCATTGAGGTCGTGGCTCTTCCACTGACGATCCACATCGTCATAGATCCACCTCTTCTGTGCATGTTTAATCCACCGCTTCATCTCCTCAACGCTCACAAAGCCATCTTTATCCTCATCTATGCGGTCTACCAACATGCTGCAGAAAAAACAAATTTTTAAAACAAAATGATTACAATTTAATGAGCTTAAAAAAATCATTGCTAAGAGCAAGGAACAGCGTAAAAGGTTAATGATGACTGTTAAAAAATGTATGTTCGTAATGATCTTACCCAAGCCTCTCTTTGCTTTCTTCGGGCGTGAGTTGGTCAAAGGTCTTTGCCTCTTCTTGTCCCAGAAAGGCTTCATGATCATAGTCAAAGTTCTCAGCATCATCGTGCTCCTTGTTGCTCAGAGGGTCATCGTGGTGGACGCGGTCCTTCTTCTCTGTCGGTTTGCTGGTGGCATAAACCACGCAGAGAGCGAAGCACATCACAAGCGGCCGCAGCTCCATTCTGAGTTTGTTCGAACAGTCACTATGCCAGAAAATGAAACAGAAGTCACAACATAAGCTGTCATTGTCATTGTCCTGTCTGATAAAAGCATCTGTGTGTCATGGTTATCACTTGGTTCATGTTGTACATTTATAAGATGATAAACACTCTTTTCCTCACTGATTGCAGCCTTTAGCCCAATACTGCATAAGGCAGAAGTTAATTACTCAGACTGCAGACAAATGCTAAAGCTACTGCAAATCTTTTTTAGCTGACGCAAGCCCCATTTGTTCTACTTTTAGCATATTGTCTGTGAAATTAGACCCGTAACCCAAATAAATTCAGCACACATAACTGAGCAGATCAGTTGGCCTTAGTAAACGTTTTAGCAAACAAGCCATCTTTGAGAATATAAGATGGAGATTCTGCTGCATTCAGCGTACATTTAAGCTCACATTCAAAAACACAAAAATAACTCTCAGGCCTAAATCCTGAAACTGAGCAATACGATTTAAAGTATCAGCAACACTGAAAGACTTGTGTAGCATCTGAGCATTGTGGGGTGAAGCACATATCTTCAAACAAAGGCATCTACTCTTTAATCACTTCAAATTATAAACAGCAAAAGCTTGAAGTTACTTTAAAAATGCAACCGAGATAAAAATTAGATTAGGAAAATTTGAACGACTATAAAAAAAATGCTTAAAAGAATTTAAAATAATACAAAGTTCAAGTATGTAGATTAAAAACAAAAAAAGATATAGCATTTAAACTACTGACAAACCTGGAGAAATTATTGTTGCTTAATTGAAACAAAAAACTAATTTTCTTTGGAACTTTATGATGGTTCCATGTATCATAACACATAGAACCATAGTAGTATTACAGAAATATACATAAATATTTGTATATAATATTTGTATATGTGGGAATATGCAAATACTCCCATAATTTGTATATATTCAACAAATATGTTGAGCAAGTGTGTTTGAATAATCAACTATTTTTGGCGGTCGGGACAAAAGCTATTAATTTTAGAGACGTCTAATTCAGATCAAGTTCAGTACTGTAGTAACACAAAACGTGCATAAGAAGCAAGCATCAATAGCCACTGTGACCACAGTTAAGTACAAGAAATTCAAAGTAGAACGAGTCACATTCAAGGTCAGAAAAAGAACCCGTCATGTTAATGTGAAACATCTTGATGGGGAATTGTCGGGAGGAATCTCCCTCCAGGATCAATTCAGAACAGTCTGCAGTTTTCTGCCTTTGTTTCCATCCATCTGTGTAACCAGCCTATTTCTACAGCATTGAGTTTAATGATTTACATCTTCAGAGCAACACATATTTTTCATCTACTTGTTTGCTCACTAAATATTAAGTTACAAAAAAATAGCATCTGCCATTTTCTCACACCAATATGAGCTGAAGGTTTCAGTTGCTTTAGATATGGAACTGTAAAAGCATCAATATATGAAAGGAAGAAATTTTTTTCCTCTAACTGCTCTTCATTGTGGCGATTATAGATTCGCCTTCAGTGTCTCCATAATGTTTAAATCGTTCTCATTCGAGCACTTCAGGTCGCTTTTTGTCTCTACCATAATAGAGTAGTTAACTACAGACCGTTATTGCTAATCAAAGCAACAGTGACAACATCATCTATGTTGATCCAATCTGGCTAACGCAGAACACCGACAGTTTCATCCTCTGTCCTGCAGTTTTCCTCTTGAAACTCAAGACAATAAGCCTCCGTGATATAACTCATTCAATCTTTCGAAAACCGTAACTGCATCATTTAACTTCTCCAAAACGTTTATCTTATTCAATTTGTGATCAGGAAAACTCACCGGTGTCTCCCAGGGAAGTTCGTCGTTGACGCTTTAGGCCCTCCCCTAGGAAACACACCCGTGCACTTCCTGTGAACAAGCGAAAGCCTGACGAATCAGGTTTCGAGAAGCCGAATGTGATGTCGCCGGCTGATTGGTCCACTTCAGGAGAGCACCGTTGATTGGATTGGCCGAAAACCGCCACGTCCTCAAAGTCAATAACATTCAGTTCATTCATAAACTGACACTACTGAGGGGACGATTCTCTGGAAATAAACTTATTACTTCATCATTTAACAAGAAATGAATAAAAATAACACGAAATAATTAATATATATTTTTTATAGCTAAAAAATTTGCATACAAATTTGTTTAATCAATTCCATTTGTAAACTTTACAAATAAGTACAAAACTACAAAAATAAAAACATCAATGTACTAAAGATATTCACAGTCAAAATAATATAAAATTAAAATGAGCAATGGAATTTTGTCTTGCTTAAATAAAGTAAGTAAAGTAGCATTGTTTTTAAATGTAATTTGTACTTTTTATTTATTTACAGTTAGGGCCAGAAATATTTGGACAGTAACACAATTTTCGTGAGTTGGGCTCTGCATGCCACCGCATTGGATTTGAAATGAAACCGCTACAACAGAATTCAAGTGCAGATTGTAACGTTTAATTTAAAGGGTTGAACAAAAATATCTGATAGAAAATGTAGGAATTGTACACATTTGTTTACAAACACTCCACGTTTTAGGAGCTCAAAAGTAATTGGACATATAAACATAACCCAAACAAAAAAGTTTTTTCTCAATATTTTGTTGTGAATCCTTTGGAGGCAATCACTGCCTTAAGTCTGGAATCCATGGACATCACCAAACGCTGGGTTTCCTCCTTCTTAATGCTTTGCCAGGCCTTTACAGCCGCAGCCTTCAGGTCTTGCTTGTTAGTGGGTCTTTTCTGTCTGAAGTCTGGATTTGAGCAAGTGAAATGCATGCTCAATTGGGTTAAGATCTGGTGATTGACTTGGCCATTGCAGAATATTCCACCTTTTTGCTCTCATGAACTCCTGGGTAGCTTTGGCTGTATGCTTGGGGTCATTATCCATCTGTACTGTGAAGCACCGTCCGATCAACTTTGCAGCATTTGGCTGAATCTGGGCTGACAGTATATCCCGGTACACTTCAGAATTCATCCGGCTACTCTTGTCTGCTGTTATGTCATCAATAAACACAAGTGACCCAGTGCCATTGAAAGCCATGCATGCCCATGCCATCACGTTGCCTCCACCATGTTTTACAGAGGATGTGGTGTGCCTTGGATCATGTGCCGTTCCCTTTCTTCTCCAAACTTTTTTCTTCCCATCATTCTGGTACAGGTTGATCTTTGTCTCATCTGTCCATAGAATACTTTTCCAGAACTGGGCTGGCTTCTTGAGGTGATTTTGGGCAAATTTAACTCTGGCCTGTCTATTTTTGGAATTGATGAATGGTTTGCATCTACATGTGAACCCTTTGTATTTGCTTTCATGGAGTCTTCTCTTTACTGTTGACTTAGAGACAGATACACCTACTTCTCTGAGAGTGTTCTGGACCTCAGTTGATGTTGTGAACGGGTTCTTCTTCACCAAAGAAAGTATGCGGTGATAATCCACCACCGTTGTCTTCCGTGGACGCCCAGGCCTTTTTGAGTTCCCAAGCTCACCAGTCAATTCCTTTTTCCTCAGAATGTACCCGACTGTTGATTTTGCTACTCCAAGCATGTCTGCTATCTCTCTGATGGATTTTTTTCCTTTTTTTCAGCCTCAGCATGTTCTGCTTCACGTCAATTGAGAGCTCCTTTGACCGCATGTTGTCTGGTCACAGCAACAGCTTCCAAATGCAAAACCACACACCTGGAAACAACCCCAGACCTTTTAACTACTTACTTGATTACAGGTTAACAAGGGAAAGGCCTTTTGAGTTACTTGCAGCCTTTAGAGTCCATTGTCCAATTACTTTTGGTCCCTTGAAAAAGAGGAGGCTCTGCTTTACAGAGCTATGATTCCTAAACCCTTTCTCCGATTTGGATGTGGAAACTCTCATATTGCAGCTGGGAGTGTGCACTTTCAGCCCATATTATATATAAATTGTATTTCTGAACATATTTTTGTCAACAGCTAAAATAACAAAACCTGTGTCACTGTCCAAATATTTCTGGCCCTAACTGTATTTGCCAAGTTGGAACAATTTAAACACAAAAGACAAAACTATTTCAGTCTAATAAATTTTAATTGTCACAATTGGGAATAAAAATTTATAGAGGGACCTCCGTCCACTAGCCTATTTGTTACTATTTACTTGTTACTATTCTTCCAGAGACATAAACAATAGAAAATAGAGGTATCCGCATCTGGTAATGAGCTTCCTTTACAAGGGTGCAAGGATAATATTTGAGGACTCTTACACCAAATCCTGACACCAGAAAAGAAAAATCATGAAAGAACATCAAAAACATCCGACATCAACCAAAACGTATTCAATCATTTACACTATGCAGCAACTATTAGTTTGAGGATATTTTTGAAGCTCAATGAGGAGGAGGCATAACTGTGTCTTCCAAAATTAAGTAATTGATTTTATTCTACAGCAGAACAAAAATCTGCTGTAGAAGTGCAAAAAACCAAAAATCAAAGACAAATTTATTATTCTCACACAGAGAAGTCATAATATGAAATGTCTATCTCAGTCAACTGTAGAGTCCTCCAAATCTGTGTTGTTCAGAATTTCTTCTACTGTGCCAGGAGTCTTGTCAGTTTTGCTTTCATTAGACATGCAGTTTGTATCTTGTTGTTTGTCATCATGTCCCCCTGCTGGAACAAAAGTAACAGTTTTGTTATGCAAATACGAGACTTTAAGTTGGGTAATTCAACTAATAAAAATAGATAATATATGCTCCATTGTGCAAAAGATAAGCAGAAACACTTGCATAAGAGATAAATCAAAGCAAATATTTTCTCAATCTTAAACAAGATATTCTATCTGACCTGCAATTGTTTCATCCTCCATCTTTTCAGTGAGAAAGATTCGTTGCATCGTCAACTTCTTAACAGTGTGGCACATGTATTTGAGGCCAGGGCCGCTGTGTGCTTGTCCTGCAGGTACAAAACAAATTTAAAAAAGCACCAATACATTGAGCATATCTGACTCACAGTAAAACTGTTAAACAAGAAAATCATTGGAGCTGATTCTCACCTTTTCTTGGTGCCTCTTCAAAAAGTATGCAAGTTCCCAATGCATCTAAGGCAAAAATGATAATATTCTGTGTGAATTTTATTTTATCTTATATTTTTAGAAGATAAAATATTTGACATTAGAAAAAAAATCACGCAACATTCTCTATTAAAATGGGTTTTTTTTAATGAAAATATGTAACACCTTAAGGTAATGGGTGCAGCATGTTGGTTTAAATTAAACAAGAATTAAAGAAGGACTTGTGATTTGTATCAAGAAATTGTTGTCAACTGAAATATTTTTTCAGTTAAAGATTGTCCAAAAGGAAATTAAGGCCACTTAAGAAATTAAGGAATCTATTTTTTTTTCTCAAAATACTGACCTTTGATTTATATTCTTTATTCTTTTCTTATACATCAAATTGTATTTTTTTATTTACAATATTAGCATCTAAGTTCCAAGCAAGAAAAATATAAACAGTCATGAGAACAAGATAGCACACCCTTGCTAAGTGTAAAGTTTTAGATATCAGGACAAAAGAAATATCCACCAGGTTATAAAATGACCTAAATTTTATACATATTTCACCATACAGTTTGTTGCATTGAAAGGCAACTAAGCCAAAAGGGAAGCCTGCTGTCATCTTTGGTTCTTTCATAATGGTTGACAAGAATATTAACAAGTGCTGTTGATCCGATACACTTGTTTAACAAATCAACAGCAAGTGCAATGCATTAACACGGGAAGCGTTATAACACTGTTTATAAAAATTGGATTCATAAGTGAAAGATATATGAGACAGTTATTGCTCTTTCTTGTAGTAGATAAATTAGCAAATTCATATGACAGTCAACGAGTTTGCAACAAATCCCAAGAGCTCCATCTCAAACTCTTTACCTCTTAGTGCAACTGGAACAGCACAGTGTGCTTTGAAGAGTTGAAGGAGAAAGCTTCATATTCCTCTGAAGAATATGATAGTCCAACCCTGACTATCCAAGCAGCATCTGAATAATCCACAAAATATATGGTACTAACTTCTTTTAATAGGTAGAAATATCTGGTAATAATGCAGAACTTCATGTTGGATGAAAAACCAAATGGAGAATTTCAGCAAAGACGTAAGACAAAGTGGGAGAAATTGCCTCCACAAGGACCTGATGAAGTCATAGAGAAAACAACTACTTCAAGTTACTGATTTGAAAGACAGGACAAGAAGAGGAAACATGGTTATTTTACACACACAGGTTTTACCAACTTGGCTCCACCTTGGTATAAGACACTAAAGAGAGCAACTGTAGTGTGTTTTATGTACTACGTTAATTTTAAATAATGTTAGAACCTGGACCAGATTAATTCTATTATGTCCTGATATGTAAATCAAAATAGGGGCACTTCCTTTTATATTGATTAAACATTAGATTGAGAATAATGGATTAAAAACACTGAAAAGACGTCCTGTGAGTGGTGTTAGGTCTGAAAATATTTCCAGGAAAAGAACAAATCAAAATTTGGTCTTACCTTCATATTCGCCTGCAAACACATATTGTCCAACTTGCATCATTGGCCTTTCACTATCTATATCCTTTGTCACATATATATATATATAAAAGAGAAAGATCAAACAGCTGCACAGTGATCCAAAGTTGGTCGAAATTAAAATTTATGTTCATAATCCACACAATAAATAACCAAAAACTCACCAGTATCTTACATGTGGTCCGACACTTGGACAGAAAGTCATTGTTGATTATTCCAGAGAGCTCCACCACGACCAGCTGCTCCTGAAGGCAACACAAAATCAGTGAATGATGCTGGAATGTTCAAACTTTTAGTTAACAATAACTGCATCTTTTAAAAATCCCACATGTAGAATGAAACCAAGGAGACATGCAGTTTGGGGATCAAGCACTAAAACCACACTCGAGTCTGATCTGCAGCTTCAGGTTTGGCATCTACCAAATAGTTATTTCACATATTTTAACTGTCTTTGATTGTGTTTAGTTCAAAGTCTAAAATACTGATCTGAAACATTTAAACTCTTTGCATTTTCTGTAAAACAGTGCATGACTTGGAAAAACATTTTTGAATTTGTGAAAACAGAAAATAGGGCACCTTCAGCCCCTTGCATTAAATATTTGACAGAATATGAAATGCGTTTAGAACAATTCAGTTCACGCGCAAGCATCTCAAATAGTTAACATTTTTAGCGGATTAAGTTTTAAATAGTGAAATTGTAAATGAAGATGGAATACCAACTTCGGCATCGTGTTGTAAAAAAAACATGCTAAGAAACATTATTTGTTTGGCTACAACAGACAGCAGAATACTTCTTATGTTGAAACGACATCATTTTGAATATCATCATCTAAATACCATCAATAACATAAATAAATAATTCTACAAATCTGACAAACTCAACAATTTCCTGTGGCTAACTGGTTAGCTATGTCAGGCTAACAGTGTGGCTATTGTCTAAACCAGGCACGCGAGCACCATCATTGTTTTTACTACCTCTTCTTCCCATTCATCTTCCATCTCCAAACACCGAAAAATGAGCAATAGTGCCACAGATTACAGTCCAAACGCCTTATTTATTATTCACAACCACTATCTTAATTTTGTCGTATGTACGGTGGCCGAGAGAGGACTCTAGACTGGCTCCTGTCAGTTCCGCTTTAACTCACGAGAGGGCACTGTTGCTTAGTTTTTTAGGAATACCTGATAACAGCCAAATATATTAAAAATCTATGTACAGTGCCTTGCAGAAGTGTTCTTCTCACATTTTTTTTTTTAGATTACAGCAAAAAATATTAATACAAATCATTGGAATTTTATGTGATAGACATAAAATTATATCACATAAAATACTGCACAATTGTGAATTGAGGGAAAAATTATGTATTTTATGTAAAATGTTTTCTATCTATCTATCTATCTATCTATCTATCTATCTATCTATCTATCTATCTATCTATCTATCTATCTATCTATCTGTCTATCTATCTATCTGTCTGTCTGTCTGTCTGTCTGTCTGTCTGTCTGTCTGTCTGTCTGTCTGTCTGTCTGTCTGTCTGTCTGTCTGTCTGTCTGTCTGTCTGTCTGTCTGTCTGTCTGTCTGTCTCTTAAAAATTTGATTCCTCTTTCTCTAAATATTGGCTAGCTGTAGGCACTCTGGTGTACGCCCAACATTATTATTATTATAAATGCCTTACTGCAGTAAGCCACAGCCACGGTGATGAGATGATATGAGATGATATGAAATAAGACGATACTCCTTATTGATCCCCAAGGGGAAATTCATCTGTCCAAGGCAGGGACTACAAAAAATAAAACGAATAACATGTCAAACATATTTGAAAATAAACAAATGACTCATGATAACAATAAAGGGGAAACAGTCACACAGACAAAAGGGGGTCTGATCAAATCAAATCAGAAACAGAGTTCAAAGAGGGATAATTGTCCTTGTGAGCAGATACAAGCCAATACCTGTAGAAATATATTAACGAAATATGTTTTTCAAAAATGATTTTCTGAATATAAACAAAAGTGCTACAAGTAATAATTTGAAAAGAAATACACACAGTCCCAATTTGAACATCGAACAAATATTGGCTGGATAATATCATTCCAGTCCAATCAAAATATTTTCAAAAGTTTATTTTTGGTCCTTCATCTGATGGAAAACCAGTTGATAATAACAAGCCTGTTCAGAAACAACTTTATTAGGGGAAAGATGAAAGAAATAACCAGTTAGCCGAGCTATCGTGAGGCCTTCTGATGTTTCTTTAACATTTGAAGCATTCAAAAAAAACTAAATTTTCAAACATTAAAATGAATTGTCAAACAAGACTGATATATTGATAGGTCAAACTGCAGTGGACCTGTTTTTGACAGCCTATGACAAAGTCAGCATATCACCAGGTGCTGACGCTGAGGTTTAACAGGAGAGCCTTCCTGCTGCTGCTATACATCGGCATGTTCTTCTTCTGAAATTATCTGAAACCAACTCTGGATTTATTACCCAAATGGGAGAACTTCAACATATTGTTCTTTTCCTGAGTTTTCTAATATTTTGTCACATTACAACAATCTTCATTGTATATTGTTGTTATTATTTTACTGTGATAGATCAACAGTGCATAACAGTCAAGCGAAAGAGAAATGAAAATCTCCCCACATATTCACTTAAGTAAATAGACAGGAACAAGCAAACTTGTCTTCAGTTTGATTCCAGATATTTAGAAGACATGAGGAACAAGCTCCTGTAACCAGGTTCGATAAAAAAAAAATTACCTTAAGACCAAAACAAAATGCTGGGAGCGCAAAACTAACTCTGTATTTCACGCTGAACACAACAGAAGTTGAAACTTAGATAAGCATCCCCACATCATAGCGTGAGGATGCTTATCCTTAGCATGGACAGGAAAGTTGAATAGAGTTAATGAAATATAGAAGCAGTCAAATACAGGACATCCAAAACAGAACAAATTGTTGTTCATACATGTGTATTATGTATGCTCAGTCGGCTTAAACGAAGCCGACTGAGCTTAGAATATGCCTGTGTTCCTACCGGGTGCAAAGCCGGTAGGAACACACCCCAAAAGACTTGCAGCTTTAATTGAAGTAATAATTAGTTCTCCAAAATAATCTGTCAATCAGCTAATGCAGCTATAATCTGACAAAATATGAAATATCAACAAATTTCCAAGACACTATATTTAAAAGCCAGCGCAATAAAAAGTAACACTCCATGTAACACTTTTATGAAACAAAAAATATAAAGCACAATATGACGGCACTTTATATAATATTCTATGTAACTAAAACATAAACGATTGGTTCTCTGCAGCGGCTACCCAGGTGCCGTAAGCCTCAGCAAGCGTTTGCTTTTGCGGCCTCTAAATACCTGTGCGGATGAAGCGCAGGTTGATGCAGGCAGTGCATCGCCTTCAAAGAGAAACGGGAAGAGAAAAAAAATACCATTTAAAATCAGAATCAGGGAAACCAAATTAAATTGGGTGCAAATCCCCCATGTGCATGCTCCCTCCCCATTTCTGCCCTATCATCTATCTCTGGACCATGGAGGGGTTGTCATGTCGACCAGCCCACAAGTTACTATGACAACGGCTCGGGGGGGAAGCTCTTGCTAGTGAGGTTATTGCCTCCTTGGGGAAGCAAGAAGGACAGGTGGAATGTGAGCTCAGACAAAAGGACCTACAGACACCGAAGAGCCGCTGAATGAAGGGAGAGGTCAGGCTGGAGGATGTTAACTGTGAGTTTGGGTGTTAACAATTAGAACAATGCGGAACACGACTCGGCGTGCAAGTCTGCAGTCGTACAAAAGTTCCTCCCTGCTGGACACAGCTTGTGCCTCTTACTGTACATGATGTATTACACTTCCAGTTTGGTGTCACACCCCGGGGCAGTTAGGGAGTGGGGGGGTTGGAGCAAGGGCGGGAGTGACATTAAGGACCCTCCAAGGTGTCAGATGGGTCCCCAGTTTCCCCCACTTTTTGTCATATAAATGTCATAAAGACAAGTTTGGAGTTGGAAAGCTTTTCGGCTCTGCCTGGGGGGTATCACAGTGGTTAATTGCCCCATTAGCACTGACAGGGTAAATTGGCGGAAGGGGTAACTATATATTACAGTGAAAACAACAAACCCCTGGCACACACCTGAGGGCATGGCAACACCGTGCCTGTTACAGCACAATCTGCTTGTGTGAACAATATGTATGCGAATGCAGCATATTCACAAACCTTAAACGTCTTCAAATTCTGTCACATTACAACAGAAACCTCAGTGTATTTCAATGGGAAGTTTATTTGACAGACCAACAAAAAGTAGTGCATAGTTGTGAAATGGTAGAAAAAAAAGAAATTATTCTAAAATTGCCTTGCAATAAAACTTTGAAAAACAAAAGTTGTGTGCCCTTGTATTCAATCTCTCTGAGTCAATACTTTGTTGAATCAACTTTTTCTGAGATTTTGAAAGTTGGGAACATGCATCTACCAACTTTGCATGTCTAAAAATAAATATTTAGCATATTTTTTGAAAACATCTCAATTTCAGGAAGAAGTAATGGGGAATGTCTGTGAACAGTAGCTATTTCTATAGATTCTCAATTCCAGTTAGGTCTGGTCTTTACTGAACTATTATTCTAAGCTGTTCCTTTGGAGCTAAAGCTGTAGGTTCAGAGTAGTTGCTGGAGGGGGAGAATTTTCTCCAACTGTTTTTTTTTTCATTTATACCTACCCATAAATTTCGACTAACTTCCTTGCCTTTTGGCAAAAAACAACAAAAAAAGATTTCCCACAGCATCATGCTGCCACATCATGATTTACTTCAGGGCTTTCACTGTGGAGTATCAGAGTAAGATTTACATTTGTAAAAAATATATGAAAACAATGTATTTTTTTCTTTTAGTCCATCTGGTTGCACTTAGGTGTATTGATTATAACAAAAAATTTTAATGAAATATGAAATTTGTTGGAATGAGACCAAAGTGAGAAAAGCTCCAGGGATACTTTTGCAAGGTGCAATAATAGCTATAATAGTTTTAATTTAAGTAAAATAGCACAACAACGTGTTTGTATTGAAACCTGATCTTTGTGTGTCTTGAATTTACAAACTCTGTAAATGTGAACCAATAAGAAAAGATCTGTGAAAAGTGCATCAAATGCATAAACTCCTTCATATACCTATGGGTAAGAACCACGTCTGCCACATATTCCGCACTTTAAATACGTCCAACTGCGTTTTGGCATTAAAAAAAGGGCTAAGAAACATGATTGTTTGCAGAATGATGTAATATGTTTTGGTGAAATTCTAATGAACCAACTGCTTAAAGCCAAATCTTTTACAAACAAAAATATCACAGCCTACAAAGCCAAGTACATGGAATAAGCTTCTATACATCTGGGTTTCTTTAAGGATTTATTTATTTATTCATTTTGTAGTTTTATTACTTTATTTTTCAATTAAAATTGATAAAATGCCATATCCTCATTACACGTGACTGAAGCGCACAGCCAGCATAAGGAGCACCATTCACTGTCGTGGTCTTCTGTCCCGAAAAATGACAAATTGTCTCCGATTTAACGGCAGCCATAACAAGAGAAAAATCCATGTATGCCTAAAGACAACAGTGCAGGCAGTGATTTATGGTTTTGATAACCTGCAGTCTTTGATAGAGGCCTCCGCCAGATCATCACTTCAAACATAGTCGAATCCTGAAATATTTATATGATGTCTCACAGACGCGCAAGACAAATCATTTGGCGCTAAATTAATTGGGGAGAAAAGGAAAAGCTGAGTTTTTACACAATTACAGTTGAACATTTAAGTCACGACTAAAATATGCAAACATATTTATATATTAGACTATTTCCTTGTCTAATATAGCCTATGACCTTGCATTGCTGTATGTTTTACTATTAACCTTATGTGAATACCTCATGCTGATACCAAATATTACACGTTGTGTTTCCTCATAGGTCATTTTGCCTAATCTCTTTTACGTTATTTTTTCTAAATAACAAGAACTTTAGGAATAAAGAAAGATAAAGTAAAAAATGAAAAAGAAAGAAAGAGACAAAGCATACGGTCTGATCTATTTAAAAAAATGCAGTTTGTGCCACTGAAATATATGGACG